ACAATTTCCATATGTTAAATCGACAACATCTCTTCTGTTATTTATCATAAAAATGTAAAAATAACATTTTCTTTTAATTAAATTTAACATTATAAATATGTTAATTAAACATAAATTTTATTTCCAGATAAAGTTTAAATGTTACACTTTTGTGTTAATTTTTAAACATATTACTTGTATTATTTATTTACATACTTGCCTTTTGTTAAAATATCATTAAAATTAGAGTGGATAAATTGGGACATGTGAAATATGTTAAATTTAACACAAAATTTTTTACTGTGTTTATGTGTAAACTGCATTTTTCTTGTAACACAATTTTCGCTTTATCTACAAACTTGTCATATATTATCAATGTATTACTCGTCATATATTGATAATCTAATTATTCTAATTATTATAATAATCATTGACGCCAGAAAATTTGAAAACTGAAGATCTTTACCTTTATATGTCAACTGCATTTTTCTTGTAACACACAATTTTTCGTTTTATCTACAAAACTTTTCATACATTACCGTATATTTCTAACGTCATATACTGTATTATTATTAAGAAAATTATCATTTATTTTATACTGTTTGAGAAAATTTTTTTATTGAACTGTATAATAATACATTGTCACTTTACACCTGTAAATTTTTCTTTGGATGTTCATATGTCTATAATATTAATATTATATGTCTATAATATTAATATAGTATAATATAGTATAATATATCTATAATATTATATCTATTTTCTTTGGCGTGAATGTGTTGACTACGCCATTGGTTCTAATCGCGAAATGGGAAACGTCGCGGATAATCCGGGCTGCATCGTCTTTCACCACGTTCGCTTTGCGGATGGGATTATATCTGCCGCGGCCTTATATTACCCGACCTAAACCGCGCCTATAAACGTACGTTCACGTGCCACGCAAGTAGCCCGATAAATTCCACGGGATACACGCAGCCGAGAAAACACACCGAATGAAAGGCCGCGAATGCAGGTGTTTGCAGCGGCCAATGCACGAGATGACTGAGCGTACTCGATCAGGAATTTTATGTACGTCTTAATGTACTTTTCTCTCCAAAAATAACGAGAACGAGAAAGTTTCTGTCAGTTTTTCAATACTTTTTGCGCGGATCTTTCGGAATGCTTGAAAAAAAAAAAATAAAAATTAATTATTAAAATCGATAGGCGTTTTAATGTTTAAAAAAATGAATTAAAAATATAAAGGAGAAAGCGCACGTTACGACGTTTTCATAGTTATTAGCTTGACATTCTGAATAAATTTAAATTCTGCTTTTGGGAAGTATTTTTGCTGAAAAATCAGGAATTATGGATATTATTAAGAAGCATATGTTATACATATATTACACAATTTATTAAGCAAGTAGGACCTACTGTTATACGTGCTACATTTTGCGATTATATTATATTTATATCATTTCCTATTTTATACTCAGGTACTTATCATACACTACTGTATTTCTTACATTTCTCGATCGTGGCGAAATAACGTATTTTTCTTCAGACATTTTTCTTACATCGCGTGGGCAATGCCCATGGCCGGAATCCATATTAAAGAACTTCCAGCCACGGAATTTCAGATTATGTTTCTCTGGCATTAATTCAAATAACAGATTTATCTGGTAGAGATTTTGTATTCGGTGCATATACACTGCATACTAATTTAATTTATTCACTGTATTTATATTCTCGGTATTCGAGATTGGTCAATATTATATTTTAGACATATTATAATTAATATGTAAATATAATTAAACTTTGCAATGCTTAAAAACGAGGAAAACCATATTATTCCATGACCTGAAGCAGGAAAAAATATTATTTCTACGCAAGTATGAATAATTTGTTTAAATTTAAAATAATATTAATTGTTGAGGCAAAATATATTTATACAGATTGTAGAAATAATTCTCTTTTTATAAAATATATGTAGGTGGTCTATAAATTGCATTAACATTTAATTTGCGTGTCACGTTCAAGCAATTAATTCCAAAAAGGAAGATGGCTAAAGCGGTAAAATGATTTAAGAGTAATTCGAGTCGTTAACGAGAGGATACATATGACTGAAATACTTGGCTAACAAAGCTTAAACTTCCTGCTGTCTGATTATTAGACTGTATTATCTCTGTATGACACGATTATTATCTTCTCGATCAACGTTATCGCGTCTCTATTTCTATAATTTTTGCTCGTTTACGATAAATAAAATTCTGCTCTGCATTTTTTATTTATTTCTTTATATATTATTTGAGATATAAAAGCACATTATATTCTGACAAATGAAAAATAATTACTATTAATAATTTTATTTACGTCAGAAATGAAATCTCGCAATTGAAAAATAATATCCTCATTTTTGCCAAGATAATAGAATTATATATGGTGAAAATTTAATATCAGAGCTTAAATATGTCACACAAAGCTTTATAATACATTATTTTGGGATTCATTTACATAAATGAAAGCTAAAATCTTTGCAAAATTGTGTCGCTTCTGTGTTTTCATTGCGAAACATAGATCTGAATCTTAATGCCGACGATGGCAGATTTCGAGCTAATAAAACTCGATGACGTGACTGACGGTCGTGGATCATCGAGCTGAGACCGTCTCCTCACGATTGATCGGATCAATCGAATCTAAATCGCCTTCCGTAGCACAGCATTCCGTGTTGTATCATCACAGTTAGTTGTTAACGTGATGACACGGCTTCTTTTTATAGACGAACGTAAACGTCTTACGTGCACATGTGTGCGTGCATATGTGCGTATGCGCATTGCTTCGATGAGTCGGCTCCTGCCAGACATGTGTGCCAGTTTACATATGCAAAGCGTATACAAGGTAGCTCGAAGAGATGGCACTTCAGCTTCGGAATTTTTCGATCAATCTGAAATTGAGTTTTTGTAAGCTGCATCCGAGATATTAGATTAAGTTTTCTAGTTGTGAGGAATTTGTAAGTAAATTTTTTCCGCAAATTAAGTCTCGAAATTATAAACACGGATACATGGATAAGAAAATTTTAATCTTTATTTAAAAAAAAATTTTAGTAAATTTCAACAGAATATTTTAGTTTATTACAAAAATATAGCACAAACAACAAAAACATGGACATATCAACATTTTTGTCAAATAAATAGAAAAATTTATAACCGATAGAAAGAATGGTAGCTTTCGGGCACTCTGTATACTTGCATTACAAGCAACATTTTCAATTACGTTGCACATGTAACACTGTTGTCAGAAAAATACAACGCAAATAAACGCGATAGAAATGTCAAAGTGTTTCTAGTTTGCTGGATTATAGGTCAATTTCGAGATCGATTTCGAGTTGATTTCTCTGTTTCTTCACAATTTCTGCTAATGATGCTATATAAAAACCGGAGGCATGTTAATAGCATAATTATGCTTCAATCGATCGAATGATCATAGATCGATAGAGAACGGAATAATCTATTCGCGACGTTGATCCAGAAATGATTACGCGAATCGTTCTTCCAATCGACAATCAACTCAACTACTCGACAAAATTATGTAATGAAAAATACTATGTTTAAGTAACATTTTATATTACTATTCGGAAATATTACAAATGAAAAAATTTTACTTACAAAGATCCATATTATATTTATTTTTTATTTGTACTAATAAAAACAAAGCTTATTTTTTATTCCATTATTCTTGTGCAAACGAGCAGCCATCTATTTAAAATTTAAATACATTTTTTGGAAAGTACATTTTTTACATGAATTTTTTAATCCATGATGGGTTAGATCACATTCATATATTTTGTAAATATTCATATATAATAAATATTTTATATTTTATATCTTCCTAGCATTTTTTATTTGTAAGCGGCATTTTTTTCACTTATTATATTTTATTATGCACTAAAATTAATTCTAAATTTTATGTATTTTGACATGCAAAAATCATATTATCGTAATTAATTAAACGGTAAACAAAATTGTGGAAAAAAGCTCTTTATGACGATAAAACTCAAATAAAATCCTCATCGATTGCCGTCATCAATATTATCAATCTGGTCTAGGTGAATCATTTAACCGAACTGTACCGAAATGTTTTTACAGGAGCATCGGAAACTTCTTCGAGCCACTTTAATCTTCATAGCGCACTGCGGGGTGATCTCATACGACAGCCACTCCCATCCTCCCTAGCCCCTCCGGGACTACCCTTGACGCTCTTCTCCTTCCTCTTCCTCGTTCTCGTTCTCGTTCGGAATCACTCGACAAATTGATTAGACGTGCAATTTTTCGTACCATCTTGAAAAATTTTCGGCGAAAACCTTAGGAGCTCGTACAGAACGAAACTCATGACCCATGACCCGTAACACGAGCGTAACAATTTTACCCCACATTTGCGATACTTGAATTTATGTAGAAAATATTATGTAGAAAATATATTTCTTTTCACGGAAAATTTCACGACAAGATAGAAATCGCCGATTAGATAACGTATGATAGCAAAAACATTACATTTAAAAACATTACATTATACGTACTTCTTTTCAATTTAATATAAATTATGATTAATAAATGTGTTGAGGATAAAAATATAAATATATTCTTTAATATGCTTTTAGTAAATGATGTGATAATATATGAAAAAAGTATAATAATTAAAATACTACTAACTTAGTAACTTTCATGATGACTAAAAATAATTTCATTAATGATATAATAAGATTAATTTCATAATTTTCACTTAAGTTTAATTCTTGCTAAATATTTGATGAAAAATAAATATTAATAGATTTGTTATTTGAATTGAGTTTTAAAATTAACTCTGTATTAGTATATTTTAATTTATGGATATATATAATATGTAATATTAAAATAAATAAATATATTTTCCTGTTCTGACAAACATAAATTAAAAAAAATTAAACTTGCGAAACAAAATCAATATTTTAATCAATTTTCCTGAATATTATTAAGTGTTTTAATATTTTTATTCTTTTTGTGTTTCAGGCCAAACAACGTGCCTCCGTAAAATGGCTTTTGTCAAAGGCATACAACAATCGAGTACCAGAAAAGCTTCGCGAGCCGTATTATCGTGATCATGAAGTAAGTTATTAAAGTTGGCTCAATGATCCTTGAACGACTTTAAATCTCACGTTTAATATTTTCAGAAATTTTATAAAAATCTTATTATACTAATTTCAAAATTTCGCTGCATAAAATTCTGCTGTATCGCCAATTAAAAATAATGTTTGAATCAATAAATTCGTGCGCGACTGAATTAATTATATTTTATAATTTTTATGTATAATCTTTTTCAGAATTTTCTTTAGTACCTCTTTGATTTTTCAATAATATTGTCTGTGAAAAGATATGAATATTTTTCAAAGAATATTTATTATAATCCTTTGTATATGTTTACTGATTTTTTGACATTATTGGGACCATGTGACTTATAACTATTCTTTATTTTATGATAAATTTGGAGGCGGATGAATTTTTCTTCACGAAAAATCGTCAGTTTCTCAGGTTTTGTAGCTGTCTTGAAAATCTCTCTTTTATGGCGCACGTTATTATTACAAAGGAAATGGGTTCCTCGTAAAAGACGGCGCTGCAAAGTTACCGAAATATCTATGCCAGAGATGCCAGTAATACTTTGCATACAATATTGAACTGAACTCTGATGAAAAGGAACGAATGTCACGATACAAATTATGTTATTTATAAACTTTACATTAAGAGTTTACTTCGAAAACTGACGAGCAAATAATGAGACTTTGACAAAATCCCGAGAAACTTTGCGGCAACTGAACTTCGTATTTTTCTCAACAAAGAAAATAATAGTAAAATCTTTTTACGAGAACATGCAGGCAATTTACTCAAAAGAGTTTTACCTATAACATGTAAATTTTCTTTGTCGCATAATTTATTATAAAGTTTATAAGCTATTTTTATTTAAATCATACGTTGCTCATAAATGATAAACTAATATATAACACATTCTTTATTATATGCATCTAGATTATCTAGAGAGCTTGTGTAATTAAAGTTGAATAAATTTATTTTCGTATTCTTTACCTTATCGTCATCTCGTCATCGCCATCGATTCAATTAAAATAATCATATTACTTTTGGATATGAATTTCTCTTCCGAGTTATTAGTAAATCGCGAAATCGAACGTTTGTTTTATTTTTTTCTTAACAGATCGATTCGAGATTCTGGATAAGATTTTAGAAAATATAGATCAATATGTATAAAAAAATATGGATCATAAATCATAAAAAATATTATTTTTTTAAATGAAATACACAGAATGAGAATTACATCAGAATACTTTCTACTAATAATATATTCTTTTGATAGATGCGAAAGTTGGATTATTCTAGCTCTGGAAATTCTTTGTTTTTCATTAATGTATTAATATTATTATTATATAAGAGTTATATTTTTATTTCAAGCTATATTTTATACTCTTTCTCTTTTGTATTCTAACTAAAGTACTTTCGCCACGTGAGAAAACTTAAATATTCTTATAACATGATGATTTAATATCCGAGGAAGTTTTCTTTCTTGAAAAATCAGAGCTCCAAAAATATTTTCACTTCAAAGATGTGGTATCTACATATAACGATATATATAAATGAATTTTATTAATAATAATTGACGACTTCTTTCTGCGAAAATATAAATGTTCTTAAAATGATAAAATTTACATTCTCTCTCGTGAGAAATAAAGGCACTTATATTCTTGCATTATACAGGTCATAAATATTAAGCTAAAAAAAGTAATGAAATTAAAAAATTATACGGATAATGCGTTTATTCTCGAGATGTATTTTATTTTACATGGAGATGATTAACGATCATCACTGAATATTTTTTCCTTTGCATTGTTTCTCTTTTTCACGCATAAATTCGCACATGATTGTATTTATATTAGATTATTATTCTGTAATCAGACATTTACTATTTCTCAATTATCTCTGGTTCTGCTTTCTATCATTTGCTCAGGAAAACTTGCTACAAAAACTTTTAAAGATCCTACTTTCGATAATTCGTCCATATTATAGCGTGAAACTGCAAAGAGAATATTCTTTGCTTTAAAATTACTGAATGGTTCGTCTATTATGCAAACGATAGTCACTGCTGACTAGTATTTTACGTAATAATTAGACGATTTAAATAAAAATTTAATTTTGTGTGATTAAAAAATTCATTTCAATAAAAAAAATTTAGAAGAGAAAGTAAATTACAGAATCTTATTTTTTTTTCTTTTCAATATATATAAAATAGAAAAGAAACTCACATTTAAGTATGCATTATTTACGAATTATTTTACATGGTATATCGGCTTATTTTAGACCTAGGCTTAGTTGTAGATCCATCGATACGTTAGTGAAGTTTATCCTTTTGTCGATCCATTCTTCTCGAGAAGCTTTACAGGAAGTGTTACGCATAATATGCACGGTAGAGCAGTTCGTAAATGGTTTCCGTGGTGATTCGAGCTGTTCGACTTTGTCGGCAACTATTAGATACTAGATATTAATTGAGATAAAATTCATCTTCGATGCGATTAATCGTAAGGTGATCGCGAAAAAGTGAATAAAAAACGTCGTTGTGAAGGCAAGATCATTCCTTCGTGTTCTCCGAACTCGATCATCTATTGCACTTTCCCTGCTCGGTTTTTTTAGAGAGAAGCATTTTTACGTCATTCATAATTATTGGAAGCACTAATTGCTAAAAGCAAGACAATTATTAGGGCGTAAAGATGAAAAACTTGAATAAAGATTCTTCCCCTTTTGCATGTTAAAAATATTGAAACATTTTGCACAAAAAAAATAAAGGATATCCTCCAAAGTACGTACATATTGAGGTAGGATTATCCCAATTAATTAATAGGATCTGTAGTAATTAAATATATAATTGTTCAGCCGCAAAATATAATGATTATAATGAATCGCTCGCCGCCTTTATTTCAGAGAGGAACTTTTTATCGTTTGCAGGAGCAGGAACATCTGAAACCACAGATCGTTCACGCGCTTTCCAATGCGGAGCTCTACTGTCTCGCACTGGCCAACATATACTCGGATCCCAACTATCACAATCAGAATCACTACGGGATCCTGCAGGCCTTGGCCAGGAAAGGCGTCTACGTCACGGAACAAAACAATACTCAGCTCACCGAAACGATTCTCATTCAAAATTCACCACTCAAGATGGTAAGCTCTCTCACTTGCCAGGCAATGTAATAATAATGCTTACTGAATATCCTCAAATGTACCGAGTATTGCTAATATGATGATTCATCCTATGATATCTTTGGATTTATAGACTCACTTTAACCAATTAAAATAAAATAAATCTTGTCTTTGCTTAATTGCAGTCTGCGCATATGGCTGTGATAGAAGGCCTGATGGTCTTATACGCGAAGGAGGTGGTAACGGGAGACCGAGTCGTCTCGGCGATACGACGATTTGATCCCCAGGCTGAGGTGGACGTACCATCGGATCATGAAAAGGGTCTCCTGCTCTGGATCAACCACGCATCGCACGCGTTAATTGCTAAGATCCAGAGCGAGGATGGTGCCGGCGACAAGACGCGGCTACCCGAGTTGCCCGCCGCCAAGGACTTCCAATCTTTATGCGATGGCGTCGGCTTGGCAGCTGTCGTCGCGTTCTATTGTCCTGGTGAACTCAACTGGATGGAGATTAGAGTGTCGAAGAGACCTTCGGTGGCGGACGCGTTACACAATCTTTCCCTGGTGCACGCGTTCTGCGTCAAATGCCTGCCCTACTCGATTTTCCACATGCAACCCGAGGACGTTACATACATGAGAGGGTGCGTTAATTATTAATTAAAATTGAAAATCTCGTTGCATTGCTCAAAAGAATACGTTTTAAAAATTTTCTATATTACTTTTTTTAAAAAATGAAATAATCCCTTTTCCTTTTCTTATTATTTTAATATTCAGGTCAATGAAGCAGAATCTGGTGGTTTTTCTGGCCGACATGTACAATGTTCTGGAGATTCATCCGGCAAAATGTGTTCGTTATCCTGGAGAAGAACGCGCGATGCAATACTTAGATGGTACGTAGATGTTTTTCGACCGAGACTGAGACTATTGATTAAAAGCAGATCTGCGCGACGAGATGTCGACTCGAGTTATATTTCGATGAGAAAGAGAGGAAGAGGGGAAGAAAGAGGATTCGTGACAATTGGTGGTGGATAAATGTGATTGGTGAAGGCTGCCGTATTACACTGTATTGGACCTATATATATACATATCTATATATATATATATAACCGTTCTATTATTTATTTTATTATATTCCATGAAAAATTCCATTACTATTGCAAGCAATGAAGACATTGAGCCACTTATCTCTTTAATTGTATCAGTTAAATTAATTAAATTAATTAATTATAAAAATACATCGTAATATAATTAATTAAATAAATTAACAAACCAGTTGGCTGCAATCGTAATGGTATCACGCTTTTTATCAGTGTCAATACACACATACTCGATATCCCAGCCTGTCGATCCGGGTCCTCTTCCCTGAGAGAGCAGCGATTAATTTCCATTTGATACGAATTGGTCTTTCTGCGAATCGAACGAAATCGCTGCTGCTAAAAGATATACCACCAGCCAAACTACGAACTTACTACCTCCACACGCAGCACTTAATCTATTACAACTGTAATATTTCCATATATTTCTATGGCGTAACCTCTTCTTGATGCTTGACACGACAACGCTATCCTCCGCCTTCTTCTTTCGCCAACTTCCGGTCGAACTACATGATACGGCGACGGCGGGTGCAGCCTGCCCGCGCAATAGTCATGGCGTAGCTCATAAGAGAAGCCTGCCACAGTCTATAGCTCCGATACCCGATCTGAGAAGCAACCTCTCCATATCCGCGCCAGGCTTCACAGGTATCCATACGTTACCGCACAACGAATCAATCTCATGAACTCTACTAGGTGGTCATCTATCTTCCCTTGCGAGTCGCGTTTCTCGCAGACTGACATTTTCGGTGTTTTGAAGGGATCAGGGAGTTCCCGATCGCCTTATCGCGTTATCCTCTTGTGTCTGTAGATGCGCTAAATCACCCACGTTCAAATTCGACGCATACTCGTCGCAATTATAGTCGATGTAATCGAATAAAATGCAATATCATAGCTTTTCACTGTTGCTTATATACAGCTTAATTAAATTCTGAGTCTAGTATTTAGCATAAGCGTAGTATTTTATCAATTATCCGATGTTCCAGATCTAAATTGATTAATATTACTTTATCAGTTAAATATAAAGATATATAATAGAGAGAAAAATACATTTGTCATATTATTTTGTGAAAAAAAACATTATTATTGAAATTGAGACATTAAGCTAATGTATGATTAAAGTATTTTAATGTTATAAAATTCTTTTTGAAACAAAAGAGAAAGATGACGTGTTTTATCGACGTGTTTAATTTGCGTTTTGAATTACCAAAAGAGAAATGCTTATCCTGCTGGATTAATCTTTTAGTGAAGTTCGTGAATGAAGGAGCACTGCTTGTTACTAATCACGTAATTGCTTGCATTTCATCCGATTATTATCGTGGGAGCACAGAATTACATATATATATCCGAGACCTGCATGCGAGTGTCACATATTTGCGACACTCGGTCATTGGCTGCTTGCCGCTTGCATATTGGACATTGGCTTCGTTGCATCATGTTTCTTTTTTGCATGAGATTTTAGTGCGCTGCTATCAGTCACGAAGAAAGATGAGAATTTCGTCGAGGTTCATTAAGGTCCACTCCATATTTAGTTGGTACGATTACGTTGCATTCGCATCGTTTATGGTGTCGTTTCGGTTTATGGTTTATCATACATTGAGCTTTATTCGTTTCATGTTACGTTCATTTTCAAAATTTTTGTCCGACGTCCCACGATGAAAATTAGAAGTGCTAGACATTTTGTAGCGACTCGATGTGTATTTTTATATGATATTTTCTCTGAAAATATATCACATAGGCTTTTAATATTTCGATTTTTGAAATTTGCACGAGTTGAAATTTCCGTGCGTTATTGAGAGTTATCAACTTTAATTATTGAATATTTTCATACACTTCGCCGATGTATTGCACGAAGTGATGCACAGGAATTTCACACCGTGCCCTTAAATGATCTGTTGTAAGCTTTATTTAATGTAACAAAAGGTGTAAATTTATTATCTGTTAAATATCTTCCTGTTTCTTCTTGAATATAGTTTGAGTGACAAATGAACTTTCTCATCTAATTAAATATAAATATACGTATGATTGATTCATCGTTGATTGATTTTTTCCAGTTGCAAAATCGGCTTCGAGCACTACTGTGAAAAAGTCGCAATCTTTGCAACAAACTGCCGAAAATCATCCGTATGATGACAGGTATGTTATCATATTTAACGATTCACGAACTATGCGATTATTTTATTGTCAATAAAACTTGAAAATTAAATCAAATAAATAAAAAATAAATTACTATAAAAAAGTATTACTATTATAGAAATTAATAGCATTATAGAAATTCAATTGAATATATAATTTAAAATAATGTTTAATAAAGTCTCTCTCGCTCATGTCTTACATGGAATATTATTGTACATTCGATTATGATTATGTACATTCGATTTATTTTATCTTTCGCAGACGCGCAGGTAGTGAGGAAAGTTTCGTGGTGCATCGTGGCAAAGGCATTCCCACATTGAGCTCCGTGGCGGACGACAAGTCCGTAGCCAGAACTGAAGCCGCGGGTCGGCCGAGCAACTGGGAAGACCAACGACGGAGCTCTTATGCCGGCCGTCGATCCAGACGAAACAGCATCACGGATGATTCTCAGCTGACCATCGAGAACTTTGGCGGATCTCAGGTACGTAGGCAAAAAGGAGCGGCTTATCTCGTCGCGTGAGGAAAAGAGGAGAGGTGTGAGAGAGGATGTCTCAAGGGGACAAACGGTATGATCATTGTGATTTCTTTTATCCAGGATAATTTACACAATTTTGGTAGAAATCCGGATAAAGAGGTAGGCGTGCACATTGGCAAGCGCAGCACGACCGAACCGACGTTGCCCGCGCGATCCAGCGTCCAGGATGTGTACGGCAGCGGCGTGCAACATATAATCGCGGACAACGGTTACAACGGCAGTAACGGCGGCGAAGAGCCTCCGCGACTGCGACGACAGGCGTCCAACAGCAGTCTGGATAACGTCGCTCTCCGACAAATCTTACATTCCAGCGCAGAAAATGACGGCGGTGGCACGGACAACGGCGATGGCGGCGACGCCGTCACGAAACTTGCCAGTTTCGCGAATCTGAACAGGCAGAGCTCTGAGAAAGGGATCAATTTCACGTACATGGAACAGGAGCGGCAAGACGACGTTAAGCAATTGAACAAGAGGCATGGTCAGAGCAACGGCAACGGCGAGAAAAAAACTACTTTCGCCACTCTGCCAAACACAACTACGTGGCAACAACAGAGCAATCAGCAGTCGCAACAAATGGAGCAACATTCTGTCGGTAAGTTTCAAATACACAAAATAGAAATTTCATTTAGACTTTGTGTACTTTGAAAATGGATATACTTTCTTTGAGGTCAAGTATAAATATATTTAATTTCTCAAACACTTATCAGATTATGATATAGCGTAATTCATATATATATAATTAATTTAAAACTAAATAAAAAGTTTGCAATATTTAAAAATATTGCTAATAATTATATTCATATCATTTGTTATATCATTTGTTATATCTTTGAAATCATTGAAAATATTCCATGATAGATGAGAACGGCGGTAACACCATAATGGCCTCGCAGTTGAATAACATACGGCTGAAGCTTGAAGAAAAGCGACGACATATAGAGAATGAGAAGCGAAAGATGGAAGTTGTTATGTCGAAGCAACGGCAGAAAGTGGGCAAGGCGGCGTTCTTGCAAGCGGTTACTAAGGTAAAACATGCGATTACTTTAGACGTAATTTAGGAAGACTGTGTAATACACATTAATCTACTTCAACTTCATCAGTATCACAATCAATTCTATTGTATCAGTTCTTCATGAATCATTCTTATAGATAGTGGTTCGATGTTTTTCTTTTCTTTATTTTTTATTTTCTTGATGAAAAGAAAGATGCAAGCTAATAATGAATGAAATCGAAAATAAATCGAGATACGGTAATTATGGAATGCTGAGTGTTTCATCGAAACACCAGATCTGCCATGTTGCCAGAAAGCTACTTTTCGAATCTAGGAACGGGTGTTTAGTATAAAAAGCAATGTGAATACGAAAAGTATAAAGTTTTCTTTTCTTCCGCTTTTTGTTCTCCGTGTCATATATTTTCAATTTTGCGAAATTGCAAGCCAGATTATATAGTATTGCTTGTACAAATGTATAAAAGTATTATTTGAAATTGTTGTAATGTCATTCGTAAAGTAGATGTAAAATATATTGTTTAATTTCAGTTAATGACCGAATTTTATTCATAACTTATTTGTTTATCTGATTATATTTAAATAGAGATTCTTCATCTAGATTGGTAATTGTCATGTAATTGCTTTTGTTGTAGAAGGACATAATCTCTTTTTTGTTTGCTCCATAAATAATCTCGGTTGTTAGCCTAACACAAGATGTTGTCCTAACACAATTCTCTTTCTGATATTTCAGCTGTACTTAATGGTAAGCGCATGCTAATGCACTGAATCTGTGTCTTATAACAAGATTGAATTTCTATTCAAATCACATTTCTGTTTAGGCAGAAATTGTGTACCAGTTTGTCAAATTTAGTGTTTTTCTAGCACTTGACAGATTTTTCTTTGTAAATATAGCATCAATATCTTGGAACTAGAGCAATCAATGTGTTGTTTACTATTTCGTTTGCAACAAAACATACATACATATTCTTATGTCTTTTTCATCTTTTCTTCATGTAATCTTGCAATTTTATTTTTTATATCTTATCTTATCTCAATGTTCGTTCCAAAGTATTGATAGAATCGTGAATGCGTTGAATGTTAAAGAGTAATAAAGAAAAGTAGATAGGTTCATCTTGTTTAAAGCACTGCATGCTGTTTTACAAAGAAATAATTTGTACATATATATATAATTTCTTAAAGTTTATTCATATAAAATACGAGAAAAAATTTTAAATTGAAAAAAATCTGAATATAATAATTAACATAATTAATTAAAGTACTCTAGTCGCATATAATTATAACATTATCTTTTATAATATTAGTTGGAGAAACGTGAAATATATGTATATATATATAATTTAATTTTATTTCTACGAGATAAATTTTCTTATAAAATTCTGAATTAGAAATAACGTAAATATTGCGTATTATCGTAGTCCAAGTCAATTGTTGTTGAATTAAGCGATATGATTTGCGTGCCATTTTCTGGATGAGCTTTGGCACTCGATGCGCTTGAGCGTAATTTGAACTTTGGCCATGGGGGAAACGCACTCGACACCATGGTGTTTGGTGGTGATGATTTGGTGGCGGACTCTGAGTACTCTTAACAAGGCACGCTGGTTGGGCTGGTTGCAGGGTAAGGTTAAATCTCCCTCTTCGTCAACGTCCGGGGGGGACAGTCCGGCCGAGACAGTCGGTCCCCCCACTCCTGTAACCTCCGGATCTTCCGGGGCGACCCCGACGAGCGTTTCCGAGGCGTCCTCTGTACCTCAACAACTCCCTCAAGAAAAACCACAGAGACCTTTCTCGCTCAAGGTACGATATTATCGGCAAGTGCAAGTTAGTTCCACGTAGACGAGAAGCAGTTCATTACCTTTAATACTCCTAATAGACGGTTATTATACGCGCTTATGCGAATGGCTTTTAAATGCCAATTAAATTTTTTTCTTTTTTTTTCATCTTTAATATAATGACAGTAAAAAAGTGTTTTTCGGTCATTTTCCCCTCTTGATGTTTAGATGATTCCAAAATAGATGTAATAATGCTACAAAGTGTACTTTTTGCCGCTTCGTATATTTATATACCCTGTTGGTAGAAATTATTGTAAAATATTTTTTACAATGGACGATTATTATGCTTCTCGACGCTTTTTTATATTATATACGAAAACGAAACCTCCACCGAGATGATTCGCTAATTTTTCTAATTTGCTAATATGATGCCCATGCATGATAAAATACTAAACACTCCCTGGAAAAGAGTAGCGATGTAATTGCTTGCATTTACATCAATGTCGGGTGACGGTTATTCAAATAATACAATGTACAGAATGTATCGGAAATCATGATACAAGCGGAATAAAGATGAGCACTTCAATTTTGTTGTTATCATGATTTCCAATACCATGTATGTGTGTGATAACTTCTCTTTTCTATCAATAAAACTTTTCTACTAATAAAAGTTTTACATTTTGATACATGTATATATGCATTTCTTTCTAATGAGTATCTAATTAGCTTTATTCTCTTCAAACATTTAAATTTCCATTTCTGATTACATTGTGGCTTCGACAGTGAATCATTTAAATTCAACAGGCGTAATTAATGTTTACCTCGAATTAAAACTTACACCGAAAACTCGAAGAAATTCGAGAGGTCTTGACATTATGCGGAGTTATATAAGATATTGATCAAACAGACGGATAATGTCGCGTCTACGAATTGTGTCACCAAGTTTCCAGACTGTAACTAGATCAATCTATTGTTGTCTGTGGACTGTCAATTACTTTGGACGTGCGAGGAATTAGGCGAACTTGAATCATGTTTTACTCGTGTTTATCTCGGGTAAATATTCGTGTAGCTTTAGGAATAACGAAATGCCACATAAAAACACACAAGTGCAAATCAGTGACAAATAATTTAAATATATACATATTTTTTTAAGCATTTAATTTTATCCATTACCTTGCAATAATTTTTAATTCGTGTTAGATATATCACGAATCAACAAGTGTTGTATATTTTTAAAAAAATATGCAATTATATATATAAATCCTAAACTTTTAATTATTTTATTATAAATATTATTTGTTATGTGAACATTCCTAGGTTTTTATTTAAAGACACAACATTCTTATATCGCAATATTACATGTACATTTGTAGCATCGTGTAATATATTTCTGAAACATTTCATTTCTCTGATAACGAATGTAGGAAATTAGTGAGGATGTACGAGACGTCGAACACAAGTGGTTGGAACACGACGGTAACGCGCCATTCATCGAAACCAGACGCACTCCGGATATCGAGAACATGGATCCCGAACAATATCGTCAATCTATAACACAGTTAGTATCTGCTCTTTCATATTTAGATAAATATAAAGAAGATAAGATACGATAAATTATTACTTTACGTATTTCACGATGCATTAGTATTGAAATCTAAATTATAGAGCATACATAAAAAAATGTTTATCGCAGAATGAATACCAGCCTGAGCGAAATTCAAGCGGACATACAACGTTTAGCGAGCCAGCAGAATCAAATACAGCAGCAACATCTGATGACGCAACATCAGAAGCAGATGCAACAACAGCTTCAACAACTGCAGAGTCTTAGTCAACAACATATGCAAGTGAGTGCTTTTCGTCGAAAGTACATCTCACTTCGCGTTCACATCATCAACCGTTTCTCAAAACTTTTGTTTCTTTCACAGACTTATGGAATGCCGCCGATGAATCCGTTAACGTCCAGACTGCAGGATCCGCAGCAATCGCAGTTCTATTTGCACGATCAACCGCAAGTGCAGAGAAGAATGTGGGGTCAGCCGGCACCCGCCCAGAGCCTGGCCAATGAAATGGCTGCAGTGGGCTATCAACAGTCTATAGATTCTCGATTTAGCCCTCAACCTGCCGGTACATCATCTTTATTTTTAATAGGCCAAACAATTTATACGAATAAATTCGTCAATTAATAAAATAGCTATTAAATTATTATAATTTATTTTAATTATTAAATTATAATTATAATATATTAATTCTATTAATGATAATTTCTGATAAATGTATAAATTAATGATATTTTATATAAGATATTTTATATAACTGTGGAAATGACATAAAATTTTTTTGGATACGCATATATGTTAAAATAACTTTCTTGTCGTTTAAAGAGTTTACAAAAATAATTTTTAGATGTAACGATTGTACTTTCCTTTTTAAATTTTAGTGTATATGACTTTAGTAAATTTTTGAATGTTTTTCTTCAGCTTATCAACAGGATATGCGCATATACGCGGATCCCACGAGGACTTGGGCCGCGCCGCACCCGGCGCAAAAGGGATTCGTTCTGCACGATACTCAAGAACCAAGGTACCTCAACGGCGGGGATCATAGTCTGTGTAATAATCAAATGAGCCATCCCGGTCCCGCCGGGTATCCGGCGTCTTCATCGCTTTTCAACCAAACACAAGCCACATCTGCTAGTCCGCAACATCGTAACGCTGTGAGTATTCCCAGAAGTAATTATCTTTCCTTCGTGTTCTTTTTTTTTCCGCGCTTCCACAAGTGCAACACGTAAAAACTCGGCATAAAAATTCCATTATATCTTTATAGCGCTATATTATATCTTTATATCATCTCTCTCGTCACACATATACACACATTTCTATTTATACTTGTACCAAGAGCTTCTCTGCATACATACACACATACACGCATCATTTTATTATAAAAGATAAAAAGACGAAGCAAGACTGATCGCTGCACCTAGCAGCGATTACGCAGCGTGAATGAAAAGTTATTGCCCAGCGTTCACGATGTATATGCTGATTATCAACTCGATTTAGTCACCTCAATACGAAGACTCGGTCCGAGTCGCGTATATGCGTATGCGAACCAGTCGGTGATGTAATGTACATTTATAGACACTTGTTCTTGATACCCAACATGGCAGACACTACCCACACCGGCAGGTATATGCGGTCACGCTGCGGCTCGGATTTACAGCCTTCTCTCTCGAAGTGATTTGTAAATTTAAATAACATGTATTTCTTTTGCTCGTCGTCGAGCGTTGCAACTTCACGCGAATGCTTTCATGAGGTTCGTCTCGACTTGTTTCTGCCTCCAGTTTGACAGATACTTATAAACAAAAGGAAACGATTATTGTGTTATACAAGAAAATAGTGTTGCGATGATATATTGCTGTGTTAGTGTTTTCAGTGTGCATCTATATTTTTTGTTATTTTAGATTCATCGAATAAGTCAGTTAATTAGTGAAAGTCCCGAGCCTAAGAGATCAACTGTACACCACATCCCGATCTCATGCGAAAGTCCGACGGAAAAGAGGCAGGTTACCGCTTTGCATACTCCAGTACCAGCTCCACCTGCCGATGATATGAAGCCACAAAATATATCTTTCATTGGTAATTAAATTTTATATTAATTTAATATTCTGCGTAATGTTCACCCACATTTTGCAACTGTATTTTTCTTTATCCTCTCTTGCTTTATATTTATTCAGAAGAAGAGATGCATAAAGATCTCTCATTTTAAATCTTCTTTTTTGCTTTGAAGGCAATGATGACGACATTGCGCAAGGTATTCGAGGCTTGAACATCACGTCAGGTAGTCGTACGTATAGAATACCGTCACCAACCAGACCCACGATATCGCAGAATTCCTTCCAACCTCATCCATCATTAAGAGAAACGTCACGTTCGGCCACTCCGGACGTTACGCCTCTTGATTCCACGGACGCGGGTGAGAAAGGATTCTATATTTCTTTCGACAATGATGCTCCCAAGAAACCGAAGCCGACTCTCAGGGTGAAAAGAATGTCCCCGAAGAAGGTGAGAGCGCACTTTTACTAATGAGCGCTAATTAATTATTTTTTGTTACAATCAAACCTCCATATTCTTAGCTTTTCTTTTATTTATCTTCTACCTTTTACCTTATTCTTTTATTTTATACTCTACTTGATCGTTTGCATCTTTGAAAAATCGCCGAATTTATTAGAAGAATGTATTTAAAGCAAGAAATATATTGCTAAATAACGATTCCAATTTCGTGCTTTCCAAGGAGATATAATATATATTTCAGAAATAATAAATTGCAAATTCAAATTTTGCAGCTAGATTCTCGATTAATAGAACATAATTTAATAGAACATAATTTAATAGAACATAATTTAATAGAAATAATGTGAATTATTGCATTATGTATATAATATGTAATAAATAGTTCTAGAAAATAATTATTTCTTTAGGAACGAAGTGTATCGTCTTACATCGAGCATGAAGACTTTATGCGTTCTGAATCGCCTCCTGTTAGCGCAGTTGAAAGGCACAAGCAAGCGGAAGCTCAGCGAGAATTAGAACGAGAAAGATTGCGGCAAGCTGAAGAAAGGGAACAGCAGAGGCAAGAAATGAGGGACAGAGAGCTTAAGAGAGAAATTGAAAGAGAACGGCAAAGAGAGAAACAGCGCGACAGCAACACGGATGGTCGACACGCTTCCGGAGTTGGTCTGGTGATTGGGAATCAACTTACGAATCCCGATCCAGTATGTGAATTGCAATAATATTGATTATACTCAAACAATAATAATAAATCTTCACGTAATAAAGATCACAAATATCACAAGATATAACTATGCTTATAAAATTTTCTTAATTACGCTTGTAAAATTTTCGGATATAAGATACTTTTTGAATGAAATTTTTTTATAGAATTCTATGGACGAAATGGAGAAGAAGAAAGAGAGGATAATGTTAATGTCGCTACAGAGAAGGCAAAGACAGGAAGAAATGAAGGAAAGAAAGGAAGTCGAGGCCCAAGCGCGTCGGGAACAAGACAAACTAAAGGCAGAAGAGAGAGCTCGTAAAAAGGAGGAAGAACGACAGAGACGAGCTGCTATTTTGGAGCATCATAAAGTGAAAAAGGCGATAGAAGAAGCGGAGAGAGAAGTGAGTGTGTGCGAATTATGTAAGCAATTGACAAATACATGAAGAGATTTGACATTGAAAGCTTTTATCAGGAAATTATATATCATTTTATCATCTTTAATATTATATTAAACTTAATATATATTGTTTTGTATGATTATTTTGATCGTTTCCTTTAGGGTAAAGTAATTGATAAGGAACTCCTCAATGCAATAAATCCAGCAAAATTACGTAACAAAACTACACCTGCTCGACCACGACCCAAAACGATTCACGGAGATGCTGGTGCAGTGTTGGACTCTGGGGCTCTTACGCCTAGTCGCGGAAAGAAGGGTTCCTCTTCTAACTTGAGCACAGGTGAGATTGCTCTTACAAATTATATTCGCAGAACAATCTGTTGAATAATCTATTGCAACGATCAATACTTCTTGGGGATTAGATATGTAAGCGAAAAAGAAATTTAGATTTATTGTATTAATAGAATTGTCGAAAAGTAGAAAAAGTAAAATAGAAAGGAAACATATTTCTTATAAATACTATCAATTGTGAAAAATTGAAATTTCTATCTCTGCATTAATCACCAAGAAGATAGATCTCTTTTCAAGTTGGTTGTGTCACAAATGCATTCCCTTGTTATAATATTCTAATAGCAACAGTCTCCTCGATGTTGTACTGTAATTTGCATTTATTCGTTGCATGGCGAAGATTTGTACAATCAGAGCCGTTTTCTTCTTCCGTAATCTTAGTGATGTCACTCTTGCTATATTAATTGTTTTTTTTCTGTTGCAATTGGTTTTTTTTTCTTTTACGAATTTCCACCCAATCACATATTCACAAGCTCCGAATTTTCTCGTCTATGCTAGTTCATTGCCGCATCAACGGTTAATAGATTGCTAGCATCGTTCAATGAGCTAACTCGAGAACATGTGCCGATTGTGCGGTCATGATCTAAGTGCCAAACTAGAATAGTACAGAAAATACCGAGCCGATTTTTGTTTTGCACTAACACACTTACTATAGCGTCGCTGACCTCCCCGACGATGAGGCGAGACTACTACCGGGGTTCGCAGGATAGTCTCACTGCTGCTCATCTCGATGACCGACGTTGTTCCGGCCCTCTTTATCGGGGCGGCAGTCTCAGGGGTATGCACTACACACACTCTCTCTTTCTCTCTGTTTGTCACAACATTTATATCTGATACAGAACACAACCCGTAAATTTTTCTATTGTTTTCCTTTTTTTTTCCAAAAATTTTAGATGCGAAAATATCTGCGAAATAAATTAAAATCTAATTAACTGCTTTATATATATATATATGGAATTAATATAAATACATAGAATAAAATATATCATATTAATTATTATAATATTATTTGTAGTATGTGCAAAGAAAGATGTTTAAATTTAAATTTAATGATGAAAGTGTAGCGATTTTTATTTTTTACAAATAATTTTTGTTTTACTGAAAAGCAATCAATTTTAAGCAGTAAATTATATAATTTCACAGTGTTTTCTCATAAGACATTTATTTTAATACACTTGATTTTTAATTTAGCATGTCACGTATTTTGTTTTTCGATATCTGTAATTTGATGTATACACAATGTATAGTAAATGTATATGAATTATTCGATATAGTACATCTATAGATTTATAAGTAGCATAAAAAACCCCGCAATGAGTTGAAATCAATTGTAATAGAAATATCCCGTTTTTTTAGTATCTTCCGTAGATTCACCCGATGATGGTAGAGGCTCCTCGCCTTGTCGCAGCGTGAATCAGCTCGGTCGACGTGGCTCCTACAAGACCTCCAGAGGTGGGTTCGATGTTGCTTACATGATTTAATCGCGGGAATGCCGCAGGCTCTTTGTACGATTGTTCTCGTTTTTTAAACGTTGTTTGGCTTGACGAAAGTAGACTCATTACAGGATGTATCACACACATTGGTATGGGCAGAGCTATCAGAATCTTACGATGAATGCGTGTTCGAACATTTGATTAGCCTTTGATTATACTTCTACGAGCGATCGAGTAAGATCGCGACACTTTACGGGTATGACTGTGTTTCTCTTTCCGGTTTTTTTTCATTGTTTTTTTTTATTTTTATTTTTAATTTAACAAGTAGCGCGCCTTCGTAGTGAACATCTCTTTCAGTTGGAACGCAACCAGTTGTTCTGCACCAAAAACTGCACCGGCCACCTCAGTTCTCTCGATGTATCCCCGCGGAAATAGTTCGTAGTTAGACTCGGCTCCCTTCTTTTCCCTTTCTCCCCCGCTCGCTTGCCTTTTCCCCTTCCCCCCGATGCGTACGATTGAAGCATCACTCTTTCCCAATTTATTTAATCTCTCTCTTTCTGATCGTACATGGCGTTTTGAGTGTAACAAGGCAAACATTGCGTTATTGCAGATGCGCAGGAGTCTCAACAACAGATTAGAGGCAGGCCTAAATACCAGACTTACCAAAACTTTAAGGGGAGAAAGTCTAATTCCCTGATGAATTTGTGCGGTAAGAAGCACCACAGTGACTTGGAAATACGTTCGATCTCTCCCTTCTATATCGTGCAACAGTCTCAATGTGTCCCATGTATATATTATAATATGTATATTATCACCGTCCCTCCGTTTCTCGTAGGCAAAATAGCACACGCGCACTCACACGCACACACGTATACGTAGTGGCATGTTGGCGACAGGTTGGAGAGCACAGGTGACAGCGCCTAAGTGATTCATACACGCACGTCGATCATACGCATTTTTCTTTTTTTTTTCCTTTTTAGTGTACAAAGTTAACGCAAAGTTCCCCCGACCTGGCTTTACGACGAACGGAATTTTGTTTCTTTTTTTTTTCATTCAAGAGCGATATACGATTTATTATTATTGATTTGCGCAAAACGCTTCTCCATTTCTTGGCAGCTTCGTCGAGGAGGAACTTTGTCATTTTTTTAGGACGACTCATTTTCGCTGCTGTTGCTGCTGTTATCGCGTAGAGAAGGTTCGATTGAAAGCTTGTTTTGGGCTTGTTGTACAGTTGGTTGTGGGTATATCTTGTCAATCGGTGTTTCTTTCAGATTTATTCTGTCAATGGTTATGGTATCCATCTATACAATAACCTTCCCGATTCATCTAAGTGTCCTGGTTTATCCCATCATCTCTTGGATACTCCACTTTGTATCCCTTCGCTGTTTTTATTTCCAGGTATCATAGTGACGAGGTATAGCAAATTCATTGCAAACACAATGCTTAATCTGTGTGATTGAGATTCACCTTGGGTCAGAATGCGGATGAATTTGCTGTATGTCCATTATTCAAAGTTAATAATCGATCGAACGTTTTTTCGCATAGCTCACGGATTAAATTTAGAATGAATAGCACTTGGCTAAATCATCACATTAGCATCAATCAAAAGATTCATAGTTTCTCTATAATTAGTACACGTTAAAAATGTAATTCTCATATACATTAGAATCATTCTAGTATAATTAACGAGCTAATAGATAACATAATGTTTTCAATCCTCTCATCAAACTATAAAATATATTTAAATATGTTGGAAATAATTTTTTTCATAACGAAATAAAGTTGCGAAAAAATAGACATTCTTCAGGTAAGGTGCTCCTACGCCTGTAACAAATGACTAATATGTTCTTTGGGGCGGTGGCTAGCTATTGTTATTAATAAATTGAAAGTCTTTCTTCTGATTGCTTGTGGCTGACAAAAGGAAAAAAATATGCAATCGCAGAAAGATTGTAATTAATATCGTCTTCTATTCGTCTTCGTGAAAAATATTATATGTTCGCCTCGCCTCGTTGAGATCTCTATTCTTATATAAGGAGCATGCGTTTGCAGGCGTGAATAATAATCAAGATGCTATGATGTGTCGACATATAGATTCGGACAGCGGCTTGGGCAGATCGACGCCACCGAGACGCGCCGCAAGTCCAGGTATAGGCAGCATGAGGCATTTGACATCACCATCAGGCCCTGGTTCGCTACCACCCGCCCTGATGACATCGAAGAAAAGGATCTATGACGATGGCAGTAGCGATATCAGCAGTACACCCAGTTCTATGATGGACTACAATGGTAAATCAATAAGTATATTATTATAAAATGTCGTTTAACACACTCGCATTATTTTGATATTTTATAATTAAGTCGCCAAATTATATAATATATGTATAAGAGCTAAAGAATTAACTGGTAAATATCTGCCACAATAGGCCCGAGACTGTACAAACTGCCGATAGCCAAGTCAAATCGCAACATAATGCTGAACGCCGTGGAATATTGTGTCTTCCCCGGTACAGTGAACAGAGAAGCCAAATCGAGAGTTTTGGAAGAGATCAGTCGGTCCGAGAGCAAACACTTCCTCATCCTGTTTCGGGACGCCGGCTGCCAATTCCGCGCTCTCTACTCGTATTGTCCCGAACGGGAAGAAGTAGCCAAGCTGTACGGTACTGGGCCCAAACAAGTCATCGATAATATGTTCGACAAGTTTTTCAAGTAAGCTTGACACAACGATTTTTGATTCTTCGAATTTCTGTTGGTTAATTTTTTCTCAATTCTATGTTTTAACTCTACACATTCTACAAATTTCCTTTAATATCATCTCAATGTTAATTCTCTATTCTTTTTTTTTTTTTTAGATATAATTCCAGCGGAAAATGTTTTTCGCAAGTTCACACGAAGCATCTGACAGTGACCATAGATGCCTTTACGATACACAACAGTCTTTGGCAAGGAAAAAAGGTGAACTTACCGAACAAGAAGGACATACCGCTCGTCATATAGTTTTACATACACAAGTGTCACACACTTAACATTACGCTACCGTGCCCTCTGTTGTTCATATAGTTACTATTTTAATACAGCCCATATTAAATTAATGCGAATACATTGCGTTTCTTAGTCAATTTTATAAAGACAATTGATTGGTGCTGACCCCGATAAAGAAATTATCACATCGGCGCGCAATCCGTCCTCTCGTGACGATTGCACGCTTCCGAAAAAGGGAAGGAAGGGAAAGAGCGTTGTTATTAAGAAAACTGTTTCGTTTTTTTTCCTGCGTTTTCTATCTTACATGTTTCTAAAGCGTCAGCATCAATCACTGTGTCATAAAGATTTATCAGTATCTACTTATATAAGAATGATTTGTGTTGTATACAATATACCCCTTTAAATATCCCTTCTTCCGATTTTGCGAACTAACTTGACATGTATAACCGTCTTGTAATCGTGTAAATCGCCGTGTTGCGACTGCGTGGACGTGCGACTGTACTGAATATTTGTGTAGAAGTTTTTTTTTTTAAGCGATTTCTCCTAAATTTATTCTGTGAAGTAAAGCGAGAGAGAGGATGGCATCTATTCTTGCGTGCATGTGTGTATGTGTGTAATGTATGTATGTGCATAATGTGATTGATCCGTACAGGTTTTTTTTTCATTATTCATCTAAACTAGGAATCTAAATTATTGAACGATTATTCTCTAAAGCGTTTGAAACTTTTTAAAGAGTATAAGGTAAAATTGAAACGTAATATGAGGAATCATTAATTTTACGCAAATATTATCATTAAATTGTTGACTTCGTTTTTACTTTTTCACGCTCTCTACAACAGTCCATCGCGATGTATTTCTACCTGAAAAATTTCATTTCTTTTTTTTATATTTATATATGTGTAATATCTTTTTTTAATCGGGAAATATTGTTTTTTTGATATTCGTTTGTTATATTTTACTAATTAAGATACACATCGACATTTCAGACGAATGGAAGATGATTGAATTAATGATTTCTCATGTTGTGTATTTCTCTATGCGATTTTCTCGCGACTGTTGACAATTGTAATACGTAGCGCGATTCTTATGGCATCTCTTCTCTTGCCTTTTTTTTGCGAGAAAGGATACTTTGCGATGAAACAAACGATAGCTCGTGTAAGTTTGTTGCTTAATTAGCGAGAAGCAAAATATAAAACCAGCTTTCAACAATCAACCGCGAACGCATGTTGCACATGAATCTGTTTCTTTGTAAAGATCTTTGCGACATTATCGTTTCTGCGAGACACAAACGTTATGCAAGGCATGTATTAATTTACGCCAAAGCGAATGATGCGTTTCGTCGGAAGATTAGGTAGTTATCATTGTGTATAAAAGATGGATGTTTTTGCATAAATATATCGTTGCCTCGCGAAAGGGCTGCGGGGGGAAGAAACGTTTGTTTTCCCAAGTTGCGCTTCGATCGTGTTCTTTATCGTCTTGTAAGAGGAAGGTGGAAGATGTGGCTCGTCGTGTTAAGACTACGAATTTTATCGATAGAACTGTACTTTTTCGAACGGAGCCTCACGATCCCCGCGAAAGTTTATTATCTAATGAGTCAATATTCTGCTTTCCTCTAAAGTAAAAAAAAAAAAAAACATTATGAAGCCTTATGTTATGAACATTGTAACATTGGACTAAGTGCGTAAAGACATTTAACGAATTGACAGCCTCAAACTTGTATTGAATTTTCTCATGGGTATCCCGCCATTTCTCAGCGAAACTTTAGTCAGTCCGAGCGAACAGAATTGCGTGTATGTGGAGAATGTTAATTTATCGGAAGAACTCTACTATATTTATTGTGCCATATAAATTCGACGTTCGCCTTTCGCATAGGACTGGCATCGGCTTCCTATTCTCGCTGAATGGAATTTTTCGAATCGGATATCTGTTTCTTTTATTGTCACGTTGTTGTAGAAACATGAGAGGAGAGGGAATTAGGAATAGGTAGACTTAAAGTAGACATTTTATACGACAATATTGGGGGTCTATCTCGTTTTTGTACGATTATTTTCCCTCCGGTTCTCCGTCCATCTTGGACGGGGTCTATCCAAATATTGTTCTCTGATCATTTTGTACGATAAGTCTTCGACTTGGCCGAACAGGTCCGAGTATAGGTAGACCCTCCATATTCTGCGATGGCGTAACACAAAACGTATACAGGATTATTAAGGACACAAATACGCGACATATCGAATTCCGATGTTGAAAAATATGTATTTTCAATTCGTATGGGATGTCAGTCAATCTGGCTTTACTCGTCCCGCCTTTTAACGTGTATAACGAGGGATTTATGAGATTAAAACTCCGTCGAGATTACAGTAATCCGAAAGAGAAGTTCACTGCTCTTATATTCCTGTCTATTGTAAATCTACCCGAATATTATGAAGAGAGAAAGAGAAAGTTATCAGATAGAGAATCTTAGATTCAGAAACAGTCCGACCTGACAATATCGAACGTGAGGTACGCGCCATAAAAGAAGAAAAAGAATGAGATCTTTTTGAGATGGAGTGTAAATTGCGGTAAGTCTATAATAATGATGCGTTTGAGGAGGGAAAATAGAAAAGAAGGGATAGAGGAACAGATTGCGATAAATATATATATAAATAGTCATTAATCTTTAAGAGCCAACGAGAATAATGGTTTATGGAGATGGGATTGATTACAAAGTTATACGACGTTATACGAGGAATTTCTCGATGATGGTCGCTTATGCTTGATATTTATATTTTTCGAAAAATAGATGTTATTAGTGAGCTGATGGGGGAAAAAACGTGGCGGTAGAGACAGATGTGATAACTAAAAGATTAAAAGGAAATGAACGATAGATGAAAGAAAGACGGAAAGGAAGGCACAGACAATTGCGAAAATTGCGGCACGAAAATTGTGCGCCGCGGTTTAATTCGCGCTTACTAATAATAATAACAATTATCGTTACGTAATATACATATATATATATATATATATATATATATATATATATATATATATATATATATATATATAATTGCCGATTTTTATTGTCGCAAAAATTTCAACACGTCAAGGCGAATTAGTTCTCTATATCCGCGTCACACACGCGCGTGTCTGTAAATATATTATGTTTTTATATACATATAAAAAAAACGAACGTATACCTACCTACTCGACGATATGTATATTTATTCAGTATATCATGTAAGATTTGGGTCATAATTTACTGTTAGTATCTCTTCGCAGCGAATGTCATCAATAAAATTTAATAACCCATTTGTGTGTATGTGCGTGTGTCGTGTAAAAGACTTTTTACTCTTCCGCGAAGGCAAAGCTGATCTTAATTATAATTTAAACATAAACAGCATGTTTTGAGAAATTTCGATTTTCTTTTACATTAAATATCTGTAAATACAAATTCAGTATAACAAAAAGTACTCGTCAACGACTATAAAACATAACGTTTTATCATCTTTCTCTCTATCTTTTTAAGCTCAATTCTTTTAGTACTTAATTTTGAATTTAATCTTTGTTTTGAAAGAAAGATGAAATTGTTCTAAGATTTTCTATAAGGCTGCGTCATGATTTCCCGAAAAGTCTATAGAGATTTTTTTAGAATAAAAGTGCGGATAAATCAAAATGACACAGCCGTAGTTCTCTTGTGTATATATATTTTATACATAACAGCAGATGCGCCATTTGTTAATTTTATTTTTTGCATATGTATAATATATTACAGTTTAATGAGAGAATCTGTGGGTGTATCGAGAGAGAATGTCATTAAATATTAAAAATATCCTTCGAAGATTATCTCTCGCTCTGTGTGCGTGTGATTAAAGGACACTTATCTTTTTACAGGGCACTTGTACGTTTTCCTTTCTCTTCGAAATCTTTAGATCTAAAATCGATCTCCCACAATGTACATGCATATCGAGCTCCATAGTCTATTATTCGCTATAAAAGTATAAAACGTGTATAACTCGCGTTTTGCTTTATCGTTGACGCTACGATCACGAGATCACGAGATTGGATCTACGTTAATAATAATAAATAATAGCATTTAAATACTGATGTACACAAGTTGTTTGCGACGAGTAATTAAACTATATGGCAGTGGTTTTTCTTGCTATTTGCGCGTAAATGTCCATGCGTTTCGCACGCGCACGTATTTGCGACGAAATTGCTCATTCGTGCCATCATTTATATTTATCGCGAGACCGATCCGTACGGTCTCTTTATTTTCCTTTCTAGCCTTTAAGTTACGATCTTTAGCCTAACGAAACGATTAGCATCTTTTGGCTTTGTTAAAGTCTAAGGTCTTACAGAAATCGTCGTCTGCGAATATATGGCACGTTAATTCCGGTGCGACCGCGAATTCCTCGAACAGTCTTTGGAATTGTAAAAAAAAATGCTGATCGTCGAAGCAATTGTCTCTCTCTTCGCGTTTCGCTATCATTGAACTGGGCACGAGCTCAGATGAATGTTGTGCAGCTCGGCCATGTCCGTCCAGTCTCGTCTCTCCCCTCCTATCATCACATTCCTGATGCACCCGTTGAAGTGGTCCCGCGTTATCAACGAGCCTTTCTCAGCTGATGCTGGAAGCAACGAATCCATATTCGTTTATCATACAGGTCTATTGGATAGGTATGTATTAAATGTGTGATTGAGTGCTATACGCGGTCGATAATTATTTACCTGGTATACCGCCTATATATAATGGACCGGAGGCGGTGGAACCCATGAAATGATAATTGACGTTCGTAGGCAGACCATATTTCTGATCCAACTCATCCACCTTGAGCGCCAACTCTTCATCGTTGTACACGGCTTGGATTCTGTGCCATCGATTGTCGCAGATCGCGTATGGGCTGGCGAATCGTTGTTCTACGTACAACGGATTGTGGTCACCCAGATCACCCGACATGATCACTCGGCCATTGTTAAGTTCCAAGGACAGAGAGGGCGAGCCACCGGGCGCGCTAATGGACAGCAACACCCCGGACAGTTCCGACGTTCTGAATTCCAGTTGAAGTTCGAGTACGGCGCCCAGCTCGAAGTTGTTCTCTAAAAGAATATGCAATCAGTTTTACAAAGACTCAAGAAGAGGATTCGTATTTTTCAACATTTCTCGATATAGGAGAATACAATTTCAATTTATATATTCATGTGAGCTATTAATTCACATGTTATATTCAATTTTTTGTGTAGCAATTAAGATGTCACATTCTAAAAATCAAATTTAACATAATAGCAAAATGATATGTCCGGATTTAGACTGTCTTTTTCCTTCCACAGCCAAGATATGTATATTCGTTCTTTAATAATTTTCATCGTTACATTCTATTATATTTATCAATGATTTTACGACTCACGATAAACGGCGTACGCCTCGTCCTGGAAATATGCCCCGCTTTCAACGCTCGGGAAGCACTGGCCGACATTGAAGGCTCTACTGTTGGAGCCTACCATGTCGTAGACGGTTCCGTTGATTTTCAAGCCTCTGATACAACCCTTTAGAGTTTCCAGTTTGACGACTACTTGCTCTGGAATGGGCGTTCCGCTTTCCGGAAGACCACCGATATACATCATGGGTGTTAAAGCTATCTTCTTCGGTATTTTGAGGACACGCGGTGTTTGGGTGTCCACCAGCAGAGTGAGTCTTCTCTCATCGTGATTGATAACGACGTGATGCCAATTGCCATCATTAAATGGCGTCTTGAGCAACATCTCCTTTCTTTGTTTGGTCTTTAGCAACAAAAGAAGCTGCCCGTCTCGGATGACCATCATTAAATAATGTCTTAACTTCACACCCTATAAGATGTATATTATAATGACTATAAAGAATAAGTTAACAAAAAATAGTCTCTAAAAAGAAGTACTCTCATAAATTGTGTACTTTGATCAAATTTATTAAATATAAATTCAGTTTTAAATAAAATTAATTAATGATTACATATAATTTGACTTTCTTACCGGAGTGATAAAGAGCAACCCGTTGGGGTAGTATGTCCTGAAGTCAAATTCTAGCCTGTATTTTGTCTGCCAAAATTGTTTGAAGGTGAGATAAAGCTGCGTGTGACTGTGCGACTTGTCGCCAAATTTCAGAGCGCCTGGTTCAAGCGAGTAATAAGGCACCTTCTGACATCCTTCCGGTTGCGTGGACATTCCTCGGGACAACGATGCCGAGGGCGCGTAACTCGGCGTATCTTTTCCTATGTTCGGTCCCGAACGACCGATTAAGGCGTGATCGAAATTAATGGCATCATCGAATCGAATGATTCTAAATCAAACAATTAAAAATCAATCAATTATAATACATATTATTTTTAAAACACTACAATAAAGTAAAGTAATAATTTTATGATCAAACGTAATAGTCAAGAAAAATCTTGTTTATCATAATCGCATCGAGATTTCAACGATTTTTTGATTAGCTTCCAAATAATTGCACAAATTTAATTGAATTTAATTTTCTGACTTACTCGTCGTTAAAAATCGCATCTCTGATAGCACCGTACAGAGGTGTATTTGTAGCGACCATTTTAGTGTTATTAATGAGAGCTGGTAGTCCACCAAAGAAAAGTCCTCCGTTTGAATCGGGAGATTTGATTGCGATGCTGCTAGGTAATTTTCCTGCAGTCTGATACGCATCATCGATTCTCAATTCTATCTCTTTTCTCTTCTTTATGATGGTGATTGAATGATACTTTCCATCGTTGAAAGTGTTGTTCGATTGGAGAACCATCTCACCTTTGCCGGCATTCAAGCGAACTTGTACTTGTCCATTGAGTATGCAAACAGAGTAATAACTATCTCTCTGAAAAAAATCAGAAACGTTTCCTTGTATGTAAATTCTGTAATGTACGAAATTTTGTTGCAAATAGAATTTTACTCTAAATTTTAATTTACTATTCGAAATTTAATTTTCATTATAATAAAAAACCAAATGGTATTACATAATAAAGCCTTACTTTTGCTTCTTCATTGAGATTGTCGCTCAATTTGTCTTCGCGACCTTCAAACGTGGAGAGAAGCAACATAGCTGCTTCCTGCATGGTCCTGAAGGAGAAGCTCAGTACGGAGTGAATTTTTCGAAAAGTGAATGAGTCATGCTCGAGGTATCCATCTCCGTAAAATCCAACGATCCTTAATGGCTGCGTTAGAGAAATATATAGAAATATAAATTCGTTAACAAAATAAAATCAGTTTACATTTAATTATATAATGAAAATATCTTTTAAAGAAGTACAAATAAAAATTAATTCATTTTATGTATCTTGGACGAAAATTTGGCTTGATTATCACGCAGGATGAAAGATAACTCACCTTATTACTACAACTAGGCTCTACTCCATAATACTGCTCGGCCATCGGGTCGTAGCCCTCTTGAACTATGATATTAGACATGCATCCGAGGAATGATACCTGCGAAGGCAACATCAGCTTCTCGGCGCGGAAGCTCGGCGGTAGCCCGCCAATATAATATTTGGCTTGTGCCAAGTCCGGAATGTCTTCCTTCTTGGGTTGCGGTGTGGGTGCACCAATTCGCTTGTCGTTATCGCCACCGATACTCAAACTGCACTTTTCAATGTTCTTGCGAACCTGATATTGTCGGAAAGCATCCACTTTTGTCCAATTACCGGTGTTATACTTGTACGTCGAGGACATTTCCATACTGACGTTTCCACCATAGCCGACATGGAGGATCACTCTACCTTCTCGCAGGAAGATCATGATGTGCTGATTCTGCTTATAATAAATATAAATAAAACATTGGATTATATATTGCGTTATGTATATATAAATTGACAAATTTAAATACATTCATACATTATCTTTGTTGATGGCTAGAAATAGCAATGCATTTTCATCGTATGTCCGAAAATTGATTGAGACCCCAAACATATATTTATTATACGGACCAGATGAGACTCTGTTTCTCACGGCGTATCCTTCGCCGTTGAAACTGTAAGCCACATCATCTCTGGCATCTTCCACTCTATAAAACAGACAATACATATTTTACATATATAAGTAAATTACTGCTATAATAACTAAATTATAAATAATTTATCTTTGCGTGTGTAAAAGAAAATATCGATAATATAAAATTTATTAAATTAGATATATACGAAAATATCAAAGAGGAAATTAAATCAATAGCTTTCATAGCGAATTACCCTTCCACGCAAGCTTTGCAAGCCTTATCTGGCGCGGTTGTAATGAAATTCCAGAGACCGATATGTCTTCCGTCGAGGATCACCTGATGAATGCAGCCCGGAAGTCCGTTGCTAGCCATCAATTCTATGGGTCTTCTCTGCGATTTAGGAATACCTCCTATCCACACTCGATCTGTAGGTAGAACGTCGAAACGACCGTACTCGGAGTTGGTCGAATTAATGACGGGGAGATACTTTCCGGATGTCGACGTTTGTTTATGTACGCTCAGCTTGCCTGTGTGTCGAGTTCTGAGATTGTCAAACATTTGATTATTCGAATTTGATTATTTTATTATTTATTATACTTTATATACTTTATATTTTATATACTTTGATTATTTGATTATTCGAAATTAATATTGTAAGGTACCACGATCCGTAAATTTAATCCTTACAATGCCAAATAATTGTAACTTGCCTTTCAGCCTCGATCCGATACCAAAATTTGTCATTCTGCAAATCGCCGCTTTCGAGAATTTCAGGATGCGTCAGGATACCAGTACCGCCACCGACATTCCACAGGAATCGCACTCTTCTGTCAACTATTTCTAGAGCGATGAAATCGTCCTGTAGAAAATAAAAATAAAATCTTCGAAATTTTACATTATATTATACATTATATTATAATATTCATTTGTATTTCATCTTATTTGAATTAACAGATCAATTGTGTTACTATGACACGTACATTAATTCCACTGGGCAAGTAAAACAGAGAACCTTCCTTACGCGCGGTTGGAAGCGCAAACGTCATCACGATCGATGTCGTTGCCGAAGGTTGCAGTATCGCCGGTCTGTACGAACGAATGCATTCCTTACCCTCCACCGACCTCAGAGAAACGCGAATCTAAAAGCGAACCATTATTCTAATATTTTTTTTTTATTAATTAAAAATTAGCAAAATCTAATTCGTGCAAGCATCTGGCAATCAATATTAATATATAAATATAATTTACATATAATTTATAAATATAATTTACAAAATCGATCTTATTTTAATTTGTATCAAGATATTCAAACAAGTGAATTATGATTACCCCATCGGCGGTGTTTCGGGCCTCTGCGATTTTATCTTTAAGATTCTGCAGTTTTGTGGCTAAGGTGTCGTTCCACTTATCGAAAACGGCTTTTCGCTTCATCGCAGCGTTGGACAGACTTATCAGTTTTGCGTCAGTTGTCTTAATACTGCCCATCGCTTCTGACACTAAAATTCATATATTTCCATGATTCGATCTTTATCAAATCTTTATACAAGTATCCGGAATTATTTAATTAGCCAAGTATTAAATAAGTCGAACAAAACATTACATTTTTCACTGGCGAAGCTAATCTTTGAATCGCCTTCGCGTTTTAAATCCTGCAACTTCGGCTTTAGTCTATCGGCAATGCCTTGTGTGTAATCATCGATCAGTCGTTGCGTATCACTTACAGACTTCGTTACTTTATTATTCTCTTCCAAGATATCCAATAGATTCTCATGCACTAATAAAACAATATTTATTAATACAATATTATTATCTAAAATTTTCTTTATTCGATAAATAGCTTGTAATTTTTAATATTATTAAACAGATTGCAAAATGCAGACTTACATTTCTTGCTATTGCTTTGCAGCTCTCGCAATTTCACATTTATTTCATTATCGTTTATGCCAGTGTTGTTCAATGTATCCTTCAGTATCAGCACAGCTTGCTTGTGAGTCTCCAAGTCAACGTTTGCGTTCTTGATGAGTTTACTATGCTCTTTTGCTGTTTTCCACTGCTGCGAAGATTTAGCTAATACTTCCTTGGCATCGTTCAGTAACGATTTCTGTCCCAAAGGGGGAAAAGCCTTGAGAAAACATCTATATTACATTTATAGCCAACCCTCAAGATTTTATTATCATGTGATCAGAAATAGAAAATTAAAATTTAAAAGAAGAAAAATATAACATTAATAAAATTATCATTCTTTAGCACAATTTAAGTTCTTCTAAAATAAAAATTTTTATTCTACGGTATCTAAAATTTAATTAGTTATAAGTTTAATTTTATTTGTTTTTTAATAAAACCTAATGTTTCCATTATTGCAAATCTAGCAATTGTATTTCCTCGAATTTTGTTTCACGATAAGAAGTGATGCGATAATTAATTAATAAAATACTAAACATCATTCCAATCATCAAAATATAATATAAATTTAATTTTATTATATAATTCTATAAAAAAAAAATAAAAAGAGATTTCTTAATATTGCATATTAGCTTAAATCGAGAAAATATGACTTGATCGATAAAAATGAAAGAAATACCTGATAAAACCTTAGATTTAAAAAATCAGACTATCATTTTTTACCTCGTTATACACTTCCTCGATGATTTCCTTGGCTGTCATCGCGGTAATTTTTGCCGTTTGCAGACCGTCAACGATGTTCTTGTAAGCCTGACTGGCTTTTAGAGGGCTCGCCGCGATGTTTCGTGTCTCGGCAAAGAGGCTGCTCGACAGAAAGTTGGACTTAATCGAATCGTTGATGCGTTGCTTTATTCGCTATCGCCGCAATAATGATATTTTGAGTTTAATGCGACGCAATTATCGATCAAATAATGATACTACACGATCTTACCTGACATACTGGTCGACGTAATTTGACAGATTCTTTGCATGCTGCACCGCCGGCGCTACATATTTATTAGCATACTCGTAATTCAGTTGATACTGATGTTCCTCTTTCATAGTGAGTTCCTCCGTCGAGTTCGCCAATTTGTCTCGCCAATCCGATTGATCCTAGAAATCGCATAACAAAACATATCGATGGATTAAAAATACAAATGCTTATTATCATATACGCTTCTTTCGGTGCATTAATTTTTCCCTTTTATAATTATATCGTTTTGTTATTAATTATTTTTAAAATCATGAAAATATCTACGTACTTGAATGTTGTTCCCCGCGTCGACGAGTAAACCGATGGCTTCGCCAATGAGTTTCTTCCCATCAGATATCGATTCGTTCGTTCCGTCGTGCAATGTCTCGATACGAGCGCATTGATTTTTAGTCTCGACGAATGTCTTATTGATATGGTTATACAAGCCGTCGTAGCTAAACAGCGTTTCCATAGTACTTTCTACAACTGTTCTCATGTCATTCAACTTTATCTCGTAATCTTTAGCGTCGTCCTGAGCGACTGACAAAGGTTCAGTCGTGTCGTAAAGAGAGTTCAACCATGCCACGTACTTGGTGACATCACTAATTAAAATATAAAAAGATTTAAATCAATATCAACTTATGAGAAAATTGATTATAAAAAAGTTTTTTCTCTCTTTATTAATAATTTCCGTTTCATATTTATTAAAATTTTCTATTTAATTAAAAAAGATAATACACTCACTCGAGAAAATTTTCCACCTCCATGGTTCTCTGGGCTATATTGACAGATTTCAGATAATTTAAGATCATCTTCCCTGCTTTTAAAGCTTTCTTGATTTCTATTCTCCTATTATCATTACTGTATTGGTTGAGTTCCGAAATCGTATCTGAAAAATCGAAAGGAATGTCATTAAAAGTAGTATTTATGTTACGACGCAATTTTTCAGTAATTAAAACAAATTGTAATACCTTCTAGGTCTTTTTTTAAATTATTAAGCATAATTTTTCCGGTGAAAATATTATTTTTCAAGTCTCCACTCTTAAGCTTCAAGGTATCGGCATATTTCGCACACTTGCTCATCTGCAAAATGAAAGCAAAAAGATATGTAACAATTTATAAGAAAAAATCACATAATTCGTTCTTCTTGAATCACATCATTACAATATTACACATTTAATAATATTATAATTACATACGTTTCTTAATATAATTTCAACATCTTCAGCAAGTTTCTTATATCCATGCCAAGGTACAGTCTTCATTCTTTGCTGTAGACGAGTTCGTAGTTCCAATTCTTTGAAATGTCCGGTAACAATGGAATCGATATATGTCAATTCTTTCCACGGAGGTGGGATATATCCGTCTGCTATGTGACTCGTTCCCGTAGCCAATACATTGGATAGCGTTGCGACGGTATCCAGCAAAATTCCCGTGCAATTGTCATCGCATGCTAAAAGCGATACACACACACATTCAATATAGCATAATATAATAAAACGATAAACATAATTTACAGCATTTACATCACAATCAAAAATTAATAAAATAAACAACACGTCAACAAAAATTTTATATAACTTTCACATTTCGCTTCTAGATTTATAAAGCTTATTTATTTAACGTGGTAAGATCTTCTATCAGAATAGACTTACAAGTGCAAACGTCATTTATATAAACGTGACGATACGCCGTGCACTGGGAACAATCTCTGCCCGTAGAGCCGGGCTTGCATTTGCACTGCCCTGTCTCGCTGTCGCAGGTGTCGCTCAAACTTCCTGCTAAGTTGCAATCACACGGAACGCACTTGCCTTCCGGAAGATCAGGAGAGCCATAATAGCCATAGGCGCAACGTTCGCATTTTCTACCGATGTAACCTGCGGCGAATAATGTATAGAAAAAATAGAAAAATAGTAAACTCGCAAGAAACTAAGATCGAAAATCTTAAAATTGAAAGTATATCTATCAAACATTTTCGATAGATTTGCCCTTTTAAAATTTAAGATAAATTAATATTTTTCTTTCTATTATTTTTTATTTATTATTTTTATTCTTGCTCACATACCTGGCTTGCAGTGACAAATGGGTTCATTGTTCCCACGAATTACGCAGGTACTCGAAAATCTTTTGTCAATCTGTGGGCACGGACATGGTTTGCAGCCTCCGAATTCCGGATGACCATAGAAACTATCAGCGCAAACGTTGCAATATGCGCCAACCGTATTTTCCTGGCAATTCTACAATGCAATAAAGTTTTGAATATTAATATTAATATATTTCATGATTTTTTTTTATTATATAAAAAATTATTCAAAGCTTATCTATGTAGAATTTATAATATTCATATTAGTTTATATTTATTTTAGTCATATATTTTCACATATATTAACTACGAAAAAATCATTTACAGTATTAAATAATATCGATTTCTTTTAAATTTTATTATAAAAATAGAGAAGAGATCTAGCTATATAAAAACATGTAAAATGTGAACTAAAAGTAATTTAATTATATTAATTACACGTAAATAACGTTTACGCAATTATTCTGAAAAGAGTATAAGCCTACAGATGATGCAGATTCAAAGACACCTCAGTAAGAAATTTATCTTGTACGTGCAACTCATATCCTTGTACACTTGTCTCTTAGCACACTTCCTGTCGCGCTATCATCTCCATGAATAACGTACACTTGTTGGAAAATATTAAAGTAATGCTTACCAAGCAATATCCCGTCTCCCTGTCGCACACGTTGGATCTTCCGTTGCACTGGCAGCGCCTGGCTTGTCCGACAAGATCAATCACGATGGTGGACGTGGCAGTGGTGTTCTTGTACCATCTGTAAAAGCCGATGCTGGGATCCTGGCAGGATGTGCCGTTGTATTCCGTCGGGCACTGGCAAATCTCTACGCCAATCGCCAACGGTGGCGAGTGTGTGGGCGTCAAAACGGCGGCGTCGAGAGATGCTTCCAAGAGTCTGCACAACACAGAAGTAAAGTGAATGAAACGTTATCGCAAAAATCTTTATATTTTCATTGTATACTAGTATATGTATACTAGAACTTTTATTTTCATATTTCTATTAGCGAAATTTATTAAATGATATTGGAAAAAAAACATATTGTAATTTATTTTATTTCTGATATATTTATTTCTTTAATTACATACGTGGTTTTTGTAAATTCGCCGTTGTCCGAAGCTTTTACAAGGATGTACTGAAGATTTTGTAATGCAACCATTAGTAACTCCCTGGAAACTTTGTAATCCGGCCTGTTTTGTAATTGCCACAATGACTCGTGGAATCTAAAATAATATTAGGTATAAATGTGCTCATTATATTTTGCAACAAAAGAAATTAAGAATCGAAAGATTCATAGAATTTAAGAGTTAGTTAGAAATCTTGTAAAAGAAGTTAATTTGCATTCGATAATGTATATTTCTGTTTTCAGAATTAATTATATTATATAATAATTTCACAAATGCTAAATACCTGACTGCATAACGATTATCGTTTACTGGTAGATGTAGATAATATTCCAAGATAATCTTGTTATTGCCTTGCAACTGCACAATAGGATATCGAAGATTCGATCTCAGAGGTATTCCACCTTCCGTTGAGGTCTTAAAGCGTAGGAATCCTCCATAAGAGACAACCTTGAAGCATGCGAATACATCGTCTAACGTTTTAAATAGTTCAGTAAAACAAGAACTCACATACTTTTTCATAATATTTATAAAAAGTCTGATTTAAAAAAAAACCAGCAAAAAAATGTGAAGCGTATTTCGTAAATTTCTTTACGAAGACACAATGTTTAGAAGAGAAAAAAAAATTACCTTATCGCCTAGGAAAGAATCCGGCAATCTCCAATATAAGGGATAATTATAATAAAGATGTGGAGGCAATATAACGTCACCATCGGATCCAGGAATTACAGAGAGACCGTTTGTCACGTTCAAGCCTCCGTTCACCGATGGCAGTACGGTTGTGGAGCCAAAGCCCATTATCTATTTATTAATCACACGATAAATGAATATACATTAAATATTATTTAATAATGTTTAACAATTTTTATACTTTTAATATTTAAATATTTTTATATTTTATAATTTTTAAACTTTTAACAATTAAAACCTACTGTTACATCGCTGGCTGTCTCATTGATGTAAAGAACGCGAGGATGTGTCAATCTGCGTTGACCCCAACTGAGTCCAGCTTGCTGACACAGTGTGCTTCTTCCGAAGCAAAAGCACTCGGTACATCCTCTGGCATTGTCCATCGCAAGACCGAACGTGCCTTCTTTGCATTGATTGCACTGTCTTCCAACGACCAGTTCCTTGAAAATTATATATTTCGGCTAATGAATATTTCTTTTCTAATCCCTAGTCTAAATAATTAATTTTTATTAAAGCAAAAATATCAGGAATGATATGTCAATTTCAAACATATTTCATATTCTGGGGGCAATTATTCAAAATTTTCTTATTCTATCACTCTTTTTAAAATTTGCTTTCTCTCTTAATTTCACGAGTTTTTATAATATACTTCTCGATAAAATTAACGCATCATTTTTTTTTCACTTTTTCTTTAAAATTTTTCATTAAAACTTAAATATCTTTTTAATAAATTTAAATAGTTTTTAAAGAAAAAGTGAAAAAAATTATAAATTATAAATTTTGTCCAGGAGTATAATGTACTGATGAAATCTCTCTCGGTCTCACCTTGCAAGGACACTGTCCCTTGTCGTCGCACTCGCAGATACCATCCTGACACTGCGTCGTGCCGGCGATGTTGCAGCCGCAAGGACGACACCTCGGGTAACCGTAGTAACCTCTGGCACATCTCTCGCACCTGAGGCCGTCGTAACCGATTCTGCAGGGACACTGACCCTGATGATCGCATTGGGATCGCGTGGCGCCCAATGTGCACGCGCAGGGTCTGCAGCCGACCTGTGGCACTAGGTCCCAAGCGCCGGGTCTACACCGGTCGCAGTGTTCGCCATAGGTCAGACGGGGACACACGCAGCGACCGGTGTCGGGGTCGCACACATGACCGGGTCGCACGCACGAGTCGCACACTGTAAAGGAATCGAGACTCTTTCGTTTGATCCTCTCGTAATACGTCGAGATTTTACGGAAGAAGGAAAACAGCCTTAGGTCTCAGAATCAGGAAAGTGTGAGATGTTTTATTTGTCAAATTTCTAGTTGATCTAATTTGTGCTGATATATTTTATATTAAATATAAAAAAATAAAAGAAAGATTATATCCTTGTCAATTCTGCGAATTGTATCTCAGGAACACGTGAAAATAATCAACTTATTTACTGTAAAATTTAAGATTTAAAAAAATATATTATTTACATGTTAAATTTGTGTGTAATTTAAAGGAGAAACTGAATAAAAGATTTTTATATAGTAATTAAATGAATATTACTTTGAGAAAATGATGCGACTTACATTGACAGCCGTTCGATGAAAATCCATAATATCCAGGAAGACAATTGTCACAGCGCGAACCACTTACACCCGGCTTACAATAACATTGTCCTGTATTGCTGTGACAGGAGGCGTTGTAGGATCCCATGGAATCGCAGTCGCAAGCCGTGCAACCCACCCCCGTTGCCAAACCCCAATAACCAATCTAAATGAATCATTATTCGGTATATTGATTAAGAATAGATCCTTCCGAGTCGCAAGGATCGTCACAAATAATTAATTTATTATAAAAGCTGCGTTTTTTTATTTATAAAATGTAATCAACTTAAAGAAAATGTAATCAACTTAAAGAAGAGAATTATTTTTGATTATAATTATAAGTTAAAATCTAATCAATGTCATATATTGTCGCATAATTGTTGCAAAGGATCTATCGATTTGACTTGTTCACTGATTCCGATAATGATACGAATAATACCATCTACATATCATGTACGATTGTATCTGGCGATACTCCATCATAGATCAATGAATTTTTTCCGATACTCGATACCCACAGTTGCATTATGAAAAGCGATGCATTTGTCTTCGCTACTAGTCTAGATACCTGTCTAGATAATGTAAGCTATGTTACAGATCACCGAGTTTATCTTAATCGGCCTCCAATATTATTAATTTAATTTTCTCTCTCTTCTTTCTTTGACCTAAATCTTATAACATTACACATAGTTTATTTAAACGCGCAAAGCGATCCGCAAATCGAAAATTACCTTGCATTCGTCGCACTGCCTGCCAATAACTTGCGGTTTGCACTGACATTGCCCGGACACGATGTCGCAGGCTGAACTTGCGGAGCCCAAGTTATTGCAGCCACATCCTGCAATCATAAAAAAAATATTACCTGTTAAAAATAATAATCAATCCTCTCTGTTTCTTCTTCTTTAGAAAACAATCCATTCATTTCATAAATACATGTTTCTAATTAATAACTATTTAAAAAATCTGATTATAGTATATCAAAATCCAGAATCTTCATCCATGTGAAGAATGATTCCTCTCCGGAAACTAATAATATCATCTTCAAAATACTTAATATAATTATTTAATTTTGCAATTATTCAATATAATTACTTCCATTCAAATGTTGACGAATTATTTAATTTTGCAATTATTCAATATAATTATTTCCATTCAAATGTTGACGAATTATTTAATTTTGCAATTATGCAATATAATTATTTACATTCAAATGTTGACGATTATTGCGAATAATTTGTATAATTTGTATCCATTCCAACAAATTTTAATATTCAACGAAAAGGAAATGTTAAATAAAAAAGAAGCAATTTCCGAAACGACCAGAGCCGTAATTAAAGACATCGTCGAGACAGGCGCCGACAAGCGCCGACAGCGGTCTCATTAATAATTCACACAAGCACCCCATTCCTCGCTTTCGCGTTAATTGCGCTTTTACGAACGTCTGTGTCTATCGTCCCTAATCGATTCGCGCGGCGCAAAATTCTTTCGGGGCATTGCTTTGCGTCGCGATGGGTTCGCGGTCGCACGTGGACGCCGACTCTCTGTCATCAGGCTCACGTGCGAGCGGCGACATTTGCCGCGGCATCGAGCGGATTTTGCAATTAGCGATGCTGAGCGTCGTCGGCTGCGAGCGCCGGCATTGTATTCAAATGCCGCAGACGACGACAGTCGGAAATTATAAATTATGCATGATCTCGCATCGAGAGAGTATCACGGTCGTCGTCGCGCAGTCGATTCCCCGATTAACGACAGCCCTTACAAAGGGATTACGCGAGAATTGATTCGGTGACGCAATCGCGTGTTTACACGCGATTCGACTGAATGAGTGACATTTGTGCGCGATTATCGTTATATTAATGCAAAATCGAGATAGCCGATGCGAGGAGTACAATTATCGGAGTTATTTGTACGTATTTTTATTTTAAAATTCATTTTTCACTTGCATTCTCGTCCAGATGTCCTTAAAAAAACAATTACTTTGAGAAATGTCCTTAAAAAAACAAGTGCTATTAATCTTCATACGTTTGATTAAGGATTATGTCAATCTTATTGCGCAAGTCAATTGCACAACGTATGACATATAACGTAAACATCCGAGGCAAATGAATAATATTGTCCCGCGATGTGTGTGTTCCTCTAGTGCACGTCAATTCGATTCATTTCGATCAATCATGTCACGCGGGATATTATGAGAGATTATGTATATAATAGCTCTTACATCATCGAAACAATTGCATTATGCAAAGAATATATAATGCGATATAGCTTTACGAATTAATAGTACGTCAATCATCAGATCCGATTCAATCAAAAGTTTCAATTGTTAAGTGTTAAATTAAATTTTAAACGAAAGAAGAATTCATTGTGCAAGTGTATGAAAGATAAAATTACATATGAGCTCTTCAATTCTTTTATAGAGTAGTTTATACAAGTTATTCTTTATATTTTTGAAAGTCGTAAAATGATTAGTGGATCATTATGATTAATGATAGAAATGTGAGATACAAAAATTTGTCAAAATGGATGTATCAAGAATTGTTAATTGCTGTCGGCATCATAAGGAACTTATAAGTGTAAACGCCTCATGTTGCAATAATTTTCATAGCGTATGATACTTCATTGATTCACGTTTCCTCGTAAGAAATAATTAGCCAAGAATTTCAACAATTTTAAGGATCAATTAACAAACCGATAATTAGGAAATATACACAGCGATCCAGCATATTATGCTGCATAACGTAAGTTGCGAATTACGACCGTCTTATCAATTAATCTTTACGACAAAAGAGGCACCAAGCACTCTGTCGACGACGTCTAGAATGCATTTCGAGATGCAAACAGGAATAATATAATAACACACGATGTTATCCATAAAGAGCTTAAAAATCGAACGGTATCTGATTAAATTTTAGTGTTGCCTCTGTTAATACTTGTATAATTATTTGCGTGTAATACACATACGAAAGAGGTATTTCGTATTTCTTCGCATAAGTCGCATATATGTATAATATAAAAATTTAAATCAGCTACATTATATGACATCGGTCGCTCGGTTATCTGATATGAAAATTTCAGCATTCCTGGATGCGAAAACGAGGCGCGACAGTGCCAATCTAATTATAATGCATCTCTTCGCATCGTGGGCTCGCTTTAACATGTTAGTTTAATGAGCACCGACGTTATTATCCGCGCAAAATTATCTCCGCCAACGTACCGATTCTCACTTCGAGAATAGCGACCAGGATGCCACTTGAATAATTATCATGCGCCGGAGATTTATGTCATTTAATGATGTGTTAAGTATTTTCCGCGAACGTGCAATCGGAGCTGTCACATACATGGCACGTATTAATTTTGCACGAGTTATATTACACATGTGTCATCCAAGAGACTCTCGTAAATTTGGAAAAAAAAAAGAATGGTAACTAACGAGCCGCTTTAATCAAGCACATCGACTATACAAATTATTCTTTGCGTTTATCTCGTTTGCTTAATTATCTTGATTTACCTTTTAATTTAATTATCTTATAATTTAATAGCCCTCCAAAAAAATTTCGCGAGTGACGTTTCTCATAGATATTTCTTATATCATGACAATAACATTCTGTCATCATATATTAAATATTGTACGACGTATGAAAAATTATTTTCTCGCTACTTTATCAATTTCCTATCTTGTCTCCCGTTAAAAAAATCTAAAAAAAAATCTTTTAGCGACGAACCGGGACGCGAAGATGTGATCTCCGCGTGATATGGGACGGAAGTGAGATTTCCGCGTATAATGGAAACAGAATCGCACTCATGTCGAGAGGGGGGAGAGGATTAAAGGCTCGTTAGGGCAAATATAGCGGCGGCGCGACATATGATTAATTCAGGCAACGTGGTTATCGCGCGCATAAATAATGATCCCGCGACTCTAATCCAGCCAGGCATTCTGAGAATCGCATATGAATTCGCGGATGAATAAGCGTTCGCGTTCTCGTTGCACAAAAGCGGCGTTGCATAAAATCGTACCTGCGTGCGATCGCTAATCGTGACAAATACGCGTCGTTCTTTAAGTCGTGCGCACCGAGGTTTATTAATTATAACGAACCGATCCGAGAGTCTTAACGTCGGCTCGATCCTGCTCGCGATTCAAGAATGAAATCACGGGAAGGAGATCGGAGAGTAAATTTATTCGGGTCTTAAGGTTCACAATTGGAGAATTATATTTAGTACACGTGTCTGGCGATGCAAACATATTAGCGTTGTTAATTCGATGCATTGACGATGTGACAGCAGTAATCAAATTATATATGCAAATTTATCAGAAATTATATATGCCAATTTTTATACAAATCAAATTATATAATTTATGCTTAATATATTTATGCTTAATATATTTAAATTATTTGAATCGTTATCGAATAAATTTTTTCTTTTCCTTATTAAAAAGAGATATCACAATTTTAACACAAAGAATTTCTACAGCGTGTCTAATTTTGTAAAATCGAATATAAACAAAAATCTGAAAGATAGAATGCAAAGTTTTCTTTTCTTTTATAAAAAAAAAAACTAATCTTTATGTAAAACTTTTATAGCTCTTTAAAGGAAACAATTCGCATACTTTCTGTATCTCGTAAAGTGCGCAACGAGAGGCAGAAGGCACGAGTATGATTGCACAGAAATTAATAATGAGCGATGCGATCGGGTCTCTAATCTCGTCATTTGTAAACAAATCGTTCGAGCGCTCTTTCTTTGAGCTACGACCGCTTCTCGTCAGGCAATTTTAAAGGTAGCAATAAACGGTACTTGATCGGAGTTGCCGATTTATTGGCCGATAAATTGCACGCCATCATCGTCCGCTTGTCGGAGACGCGTTTGTTAAAGGTCGCTTTGCCGATTCGCGAACGCGAGAAACGTGTTTTTAAATTATCGCGAAATCCCACGCGAATGGAAAAATCTCACGCATAGAATACGAATAATTGATTGATTGAAATCCTGAGATTGATGGGCAAAGCTGAAATCATAAATTCTAAATAAAGTTCAAGAAATTTAAAGCCAATATCTCATCGGACGAGAAGATTGTGGAAAAATCGAGTCCACTTCAATTTGAAGCAATAAAAAGCAATAATTTATTTTTTAATTAAAATAAGAATTTATATAAACATATAATTTATTTTTTAATCAAAATTTAATTTATATAATTTTTAAACACACTATCAACTTATATATTACGTGAAATGAGTTTTAAAAGCACACAGGAGAAAACAAAATATAATATTTATTATTTCCAAAGCTCCAATTTTATAACGGAGTATTCAATCGTGCGTGATTAAAAATAAATTCTTATGGCTTAATTAAATAGAAGCGGAATCGATTTTTCCATAATTTTCTCGCTCGATGATATTGACCACAATCAATAGGAGCATCCTCCTTTAATTGCAGTTATATCTTAATTATTAAATACGCTCTGTTTTTTTCAATAAGGATATAAATGTCCTCGTTTGACGCGAAACAAAATCTTAGCGATTCTTATTTTATACGTTCAAGACGCAGCTTGCTGTAATTTTGCCGCGAACAAATACGATAATGTCATAGCGAACAAGTCTCGCTTGTCAACTTGCCGCGTTTGGTTCGCGTGTCGATGTTGCTCTTATTGGGATACTTGTCATGCAAATCGGAGAAGTTTATGCGGTGATCCATAATAAACGCCATTTTAGTACCTGTTTGTATTTATCTCGCGAGATTTTTTTTTCGTGATCGATATCCAATTAAGTTGATTGTCGCGAGTTTGAATAGCAAGATTTTAAAAAGACGAGAGGGTTGCAATCTCGAAGAAACGTTACTATTTTATTT